CTTCGGGATTGGGCGGCCTAGAAATTCAATAAATGAAATGAAATGAAAATGAAATTTGTACCCCTGTTTCCTCTCTCCCCTGGTAATTTCTGCATCTAAGCCATATTTTATTGTTTTATTGAGGACAACACCATGTGGCAGTCTATTGTAGAGGTCTCCAACCTTGGCAACTTTAAGCCTGGCAGACTTCTTGCTGGCTGGGGAATTCTGGGAGTTGACGTCCACCAGGATTAAAGTTGCCAAGGTTGGAGACCTCTGGTCTATTGTGTTTCTTATGTATTTAACTAAACTAAAAATGGCAGATGGACATGGTTGTAGGGATTATAGAATTTCTAACAGGTAAAAACACAATGGCGATCTCTCTGCTCCCCGCATCTGCCTTCTCTAAAGAAAATAAAATCCAATGATTCCCAGGGAGGCTTCCAGAGGGATGTAAGCACTGTGCAATCAATATTCTTGAAAAGAGGCTGCCATAATTGTGTGAAGTTCAGCAACTCCGTCTATCCGCTGTGTGAATTTTTGACCAAGTCATCAGATCACAGGATTCCTGAACATTTATACTGGGGGAGGGGGGGAGGTATGTGTGTGTTTGTGTGTGTGTGTGTTTGTGTGTGTTTGTGTATGTGTATGGGGTGTCCTCAAGTCTTTTAGTCAAGCTAGAAATGCCTAGGAATTTCTTCTGCCAGGATCTGGAGGACAAAGTAAGTTGCAACTCAAGGGCAGATGGGCCAATCTGCAAACAATTGTGCAGAAACATATAATAAGACGATTTTCCAGTTGGTTGAATCAGCTGTGCAAAACTCGGAGGTGTTCCCCAAAGCCTGGAATCGATCATTAATTATTCAAGTTTCCATCTCACCTGAGTCCAAGCTTTGAGGCTAACTGGGTTTTATTAGTTAAACTAGCAATAGCAATAGCAGTTAGACTTATATACCGCTTCATAGGGCTTTCAGCCCTCTCTAAGCGGTTTACAGAGTCAGCATATCACCCCTACAATCTGGGTCCTCATTTTACCCAGCTTGGAAGGATGGAAGGCTGAGTCAACCCTGAGCCGGTGAGATTTGAACCGCTGAACTGCTGAACTAGCAGTCAGCTGAAGTGGCCTGCAGTACTGCACTCTACCCACTGCGCCACCTCGGCTCAAACTTCACATGTTGCCAGACAAGGAGGACTTCGTTGGCAGCAAACTCTGAATTACAGCAAATCTGGGCAACGCCGAATGTTCCGTTTCATGTTGCTGGGTTCGCTTTGCCCAGGGAACCTAGAAAAAGCCCACAGATTGTGATGACCTCAACACCTGCCAGGAAGACTGGTTTCAGGAGTGGGGATATCATGAGTGGTCCTTGGTGCTCTCTGAGCATGCTTGTTTCCTTGTAGACATTTTATTACCCTAACTAGCCGTCTCCCCAGCCAAGGTCCACAGTGCATGCGAGCGTGCCTCCCGCCAGCCAGCTGACCTTCCGTTCTCTGCTGCGCATGCGTGGGTGGCGGGGAGCATATGTGCATGCACAGGGGTGAGGCGCATGTATGGGGGGCACTCACATTGCATTTTGAGGCCTTGTTCAACACCCCCATGGCCCATTTTGGCTTCTAGGTTGGTGCAGGAGGATTTCCAGGCCCAAAACGGGGCACAGGGGGCATGTGTGTCCCCCCTGCACCCTGTTTTGGCTTCCAGGTTGGTGCAGGAGGCCTTCCAGGTCCAAAATGGGGCACCAGTTAGGTAACATCATCAGTGCTAGTAAGGAGTTTGCTGCCAGTTTCTATTCTAGTGGCTTGTCTGTCCGTGTTGGTGGGGGCGATCTTAGAGATTCTTTGGTTGGGTTGTTTGCTGTTGGCTTCTTTGGCAGTTTCTTGATTGGGGTATTGTTTACTTGATTGCTTGTCTGAAATTAACCTTGGAGTTAATCTATGCTGATCTGGTTGCTGATTACGGGTGGAGAGTTGCTGGAGTCTTTTAGGCTGGTTGATTGACCCTATTGCATAGTCTATAGATGTTATTAATGTATGGCTATTGATGGCTGATTTGTCAGGGTGCCAGGAGATCCTCTTAGGCAGGGGTGACAAACTCAAGGCCCGCGGGCTGAATCTGGCCAGCAGGGGGCTTAGATCTGGCCCACAGGGCTGCCCTGGAAACAGCAAAGGACTGGCCTGCAGTGCCTCTTCTAGTGAAAACGGCGCTTGGGAGAGCTGCACGCAGCCATCCTGAGCTCCGTTTTTCACTGGCAAAGGGTTGCAGGCGCACCGTTTTCACTGGCAGAGGATTGCAGTAGGCTGTCACAGCTGAAAGCGGAGCTCGGAGGCCCGTTTTTGCTAGCAGAGTACTCGGGCCACCACGCACAGGTGCCCCCGACACAAATGACGTTCAGCTGGCCATGCCCACCCTGGCTGCTCAAGGACAAATGCAACCCTGATGCGGCTCTCAATGAGATCGAGTTTGACACCCCTGATCTTAGGGCTCTTTTGGTTGATCCAGTTGAAATATTTGTTTTTGCAAGGGAAGGGAAGGTCGAGTCCTTGGTGTGACTTCTGAATGTGAGCAGATAAAATGACCTGCATGGAAGGAACCCGTGAATGTGTCATGCAAGCACTTTGCTTCTTTCTTGTTTGCCCTACACTCTTTTGCAAAGGCTAATGGAGCCATGGTCTCTAAGGGCTTTTTGGATCCTGTGATGTAAAGCACCTTGAGATGCTTTCAATAATGCAAGCAGTGATGGCACCCTGAGAAGTAATTATAGCTATATTTGTGTGGGAAGGGCATCATTTCAGACGAAAAACCACATGCATGGATTATCCGGTTACTGTAGATTCCTCTGTGACACCGTTGCCGATTTCATCTGCAAGGCTTTCTTAAAACCTACACATGTTTTCCTACATGTTCCAAATGGCATGAAGCTCACTGCAACCTATGCTTCCTCAATGAAGTTTTCTAATAGCTGAGCAATGAAACCACTTGGCCAATTCAGGGGTGGGATTCTACTGGTTCGAACTTGTTCGGCCAAACTGGTAGCTCCGACTATCAGCTGGGAGCGAACCAGTTCACTCCAACTTTGAAGTGAGTCCACCCGCCCTCCTTCCTGCCCCTGTGCTATACTCACCTGTTCTGACCCCCCTCCAACCAGTGAGTCACACCGACACAAGCTTACTGTTAGCCATGCTTTATTCACAGTAATTACTCACAGACAAGACATTGGCAGCAACCCAGACTCCCACAGATAAGAGATACACATGAGCTTATCCAACCTAGTATAACAGTTGTGTCCTGCAAAAGGTCTCCTCCCAAAGTCTCTTCTTATATACTCTCTTGGGGGGGAGCCAAGCCACAACCACCTGGGCCTGATTATCTCCTATGAGTCTGTCTCCGTAATTGCTGCCTCCGCTTCTCCGCCCTTCTCTGCCGGGCATCCGGGACCAACTCCCTTTGCTCCTCCCCACTGCTCCAGTGCCTGATGTCAGGGACAAACTCCCTTTGACTTTCACGGCTGCTCCATGGCTCAGGCGCCTCCTGGTGATCAACCAGCCTCTCTGGTCCCTGCTCGGAGTCTGAACCCTGCCCAGGGTCCTCCACATCTTCCAGAGCTGACTCATAGGGTCCCTTGCTATCGGAGTCTGTCGGCAGCTTGACCGGCTGGACCACAACACTCACCTATATTTCCTTTTCCAAAGCCCACTTTGTACAACAGAGTGGATTCTTGAGCCTCAGCTGTTTTCCTTGCCAGCAGTATTGCACGTCAGGCGTGTGTGAAAGCGAGCATGCACTCAGCGAACCGGTTGTTAAACCGCTAGGATCCCTCCATCCAAGCAGCCAACGAGACCTGCCGTTTGCTTTTGACTCTTTGCTCAAGAGCTTCCAAGACTTCATGAATCAAATAATGACCGGAAGAAAAGTAAAGGTTTGATTTCAATATGGAACTGTCGTAGCTAGTGTTTTAACCCACTGCTTTTATCAGCAGCTTGCTACGAAGCCTCTTTGGGAGCACTGTGCTTGGACTACTTTTCCTTGAGATGGACTGTAAAATGGAGCTAATTCATGGAAAGATGTATGGCAGGCAGTGTTGTGTGAGCACACAAATCCAGAATCATGTTGCATTCCTCCAAATGAGCAGGTGGTTGGACTAAAACAGCGGTCCCTAACTGGTGGTCCATGGAGCACTGGTGGTCTGCAAGAAAACTTTGGTGGTCTGCAGAAAAATTATTTGCACTTTTTATATTGCGCTAAATCAGGGGTCCTCAAACTACGGCCCCTGGGACAAATACGTGCAATGAACGTTTGTGTGGCTGCAGGCAATCTCCCCTTTCTGGGTCTTTTTGTGTGGGTTGGAGGGGGCATAAATTCCAATTTGGGGTCTGCTTCACCCTCCTGGTGCAGGGCTTTGGGAGAAGGCTGGAGGGAAGTGCCATTGGTGGTGAAGAGCCAGAGGGCCTTGTTCCAGTGAGACTGCATCATGACCTAGAACTGGTTGATCATCTCAGCCCGCTAAGCCTCCAGGTACTGGTACATGACCTTGCACTCCTGCAAGTCTTCCCTCTGCTTGGAAAGCCTATGTTCTTAGTTCTCTGTGAGGTGCTTCAGCTGAGCCTCCTTCTCGGTCAGATCCAATTTAAACTGAGTCAGCTGTTTTGCCAATTCTTTCTCATGGTGGCTGCTTAGCTCCAACAACTGCTTCCTATTGGAGCCCTAAGGAGCCCTGGCGGGCAGGCGAGGAGTGGCTGGGAGGGGAGGGTTGAGTAGAAGCTAGCAAGANTTTCATTGGGTCCTAATAGTAAGACAGCCACTTCTTATTTATTTTAAAAATATTGTGTTACATTTAGCTACCGCTTCTTCCTGCTGTTGCATCCAGCACCAGCTGCCTTCACAGAGATAGGTCAGTGCAACAATTATTCAGACAACTTTGCATAACAACAAACAAGATTTCCCGCTGCTGTGCGTTTTGAAATTTACACCATGTGCAGCTGTGTGAACTCCAACTCCCAGAATTCCCTTGCTAGCCAATGGCAGCAGAGAGGTCCTGATTTTGGCATTCTTTGCTGCCCTCTAGAGGTCATCCGCAATTTGCAGCCAAAATCTGGCAACTCCCACTGAATATCCGCCGGAGCCCGCTTAAAAGATGGCCGCCTTGGCCTCCCAGAATCAGAAGCGCCTGCGCTGAACATTAAAACGCACGTTGGCTGCTCCAACTCCCCGTAGCTCAATCAGCTGGCCACGGTTTTTTTCGCTTCTTCTTCCAAGATGGTGGCTCCCAGGTTACTCGGCAACCAGAGGCTTTGGGACAGTTCGGCGACCTTCTTCCTCCTGCAGCTCCTTCTCTCGGCCGTCGGGGCAAAGCAGGAGCCCATCACGGCCGACTTCAATGTCAGGCCCGGCGGGATGGTTCACTCGTATTCGCAAAACCTGGTGAGAGCGAACGGGACAGGGCAGAGAGCTAGGTGGCGGCTGCTGATTGGTTGGATTGAGTCTTGCGCCCCCTAAGGATAGCTTCCGATTGGTCGAAGGGAGGGGCGGGACTTTTTTGTGGTGCTGTGATTGGTCGTCAGGGAGCCGAAGGCGGGAGAAACGGAGCATTTTGGCATGTCCCGACCACGTTTCCGTAGAAAGTGGCTAAATGCAGAATTGTAGTTCTTTGGACCAAATTAACCCCGGAGTAAATGCGTAGTAGAGCCCCTGCCACGGTTTTGCTCCTGCCTATGAGATGGCAGCACTTGCGCCGTTACCTCCATTCATGCTGGGGCATTCTCCTCTTAATTTTTCACATTTATGTGGCTGCCCCTTTAAACTTCTTTCCCTACATTTCCAACGTTACTATTATAATTTCCTTTTTTTACTGCTTATTAATATCTTGGTAGGGGGTAAATTCGATTTTTATGGGCTTCGCACGGTGCATTGCACGTCTTCCAATTCCCCCCCCTTCCCCTGGATTATTGCTGAAGTTGTTTTTTTAATATTATATAAAGGATAGGCAAGTCCTTGACTTAACACCACAATTGTTACCAATATTTCTGTTGCTAAGTGCTACATTTGTTAAGTGAGGTTTGTCCCGTTTTACAACCTTTCCTGCCACAGTTGTTAAGTTAATCACTGCAGTTGTTAATAACAAGTGTGAGAAACGGTCATAAGTTACTTTTTTCAGTGCTGTCGTAACTTCAGACGGTCACTGAACAAACAGTGGTAAGTCGAGGTACCTGAATTCTAGTCCTTCCTTAGGCAGGAAAGCAGGTTAGGTGACTTTGGGCCAATCACCAGGAGACTGGGAGTTCTAGTNACATGGGAAAAGATATGGGTAAGAAATGTAAAATTTATGCAAGCCCAAAATTTGAGAGAGAATTTTTACAAGATGTTTTATAGATGGCATTTAGATCCTAAAAAAATAGCTTGTATCTATCCGAATTTACAAGCTAAATGCTGGAGGTGTGATTGTGCTGATGCTACGTATTATCATATATGGTGGACTTGTAAAAAAGAGCATTGACAACTTCTGAAGGCAAGCTGTTCCACTGGTTAATTGTCCTCACTGTTGGGAAGTTTCTCCTTAATTCCAGAACTTACCCTCTCCTGGTGATTAGCCCAAAGTCACCCAGCTGGCTTTCATGGCTAAGGTGGGACTAGAACTCATTGTCTCCTGGTAATTGGCGCCAAAGTCACCCAACTAGCTTTCATGGCTAAGGCGGGACTTGAACTCACTGTCTCTTGGTGACTGGCTCAAAGTCATCCAGCTGGCTTTCATGGCTAAGGTGGGACTAGAACTCACAATCTCCTGGTGATTGGCTCAAAGTCACCCACACATCTTTCATAACTAAGGCAGCACTAGAACTCACCATCACCTGATGATTGGCCCAAAGTCATCCAGCTGGCTTTCATGGCTAGGGTGGGACTAGAACTCACTGTCTCCTGGTGATTGGCTCAAAATCATCCAGCTGGCTTTCGTGGCTAAGGTGGGACTAGAACTCACAATCTCCTGGTGATTGGCTCAAAGTCACCCAGATAGCTTTCATAACGAAGGCAGCACTAGAACTCACCATCTCCTGGTGATTGGCCCAAAGTCATCCAGCTGGCTTTCATGGCTAAGGTGGGACTAGAACTCACTGTCTCCTGGTGACTGGCCTAAAGTCACCCAGCCAGTTTTCATGGCAAAGAAAGTACTAGAACTCACAGTCTCCCGTTTTTTTTAATTCTGCTGCCTTAATCCCTAGACTAAATTGGCTCTTTGCTCCGCCTTCCTCCAACTTCTCAATTTTCTAACTTTTGCAGCTGTTTCATTGGGTCCTAATAGTAAGACAGCCACTTCTTATTTATTTTAAAAATATTGTGTTACATTTAGCTACCGCTTCATCTCACTCTTCCTGCTGATGTTGCATCCAGCACCAGTTGCCTTCACAGAGATAGGTCAGTGCAACAATTATTCAGACAACTTTGCATAACAACAAACAAG